AGTGGTGATATTAATCGTACAAACGCCCGGTCGAATGCAATCGCGGTTTTAATCCTTCCACACATGTAATACATACATACACGCGTACAAATTCATTCTCTTCTCGAATATTCCTGAAACCGGTGTCCCGATAATCAATGTTCTACTATACTGCAAAACTGTAAAAACATACAGGGTATTAGGATAATTTGATCAGTTAGAGATAACCTAGAAGGTTTCCGCGTCGTGACGTATACCCTTGTACATACATACTATACGCATCACCGGTTGTCGGTCAGCTGTTATGGCATACCTGATACTTGCCGAGAGTGAGAGAGAGAGAGAGAGAGAGACGGTAGGCCGGTCGGTCGGTCGATCGGTCGGTTTGTTGAGAAAAGAGGTGGACAAAACGACGTCTCGGTGATGGTTCCGTTAGCTCGACCAGCCGAATCGAGTTTCCCATGCGAAGTGAGAAAGTACATAATTCCCTCGGAAAATCCCTCTTCAAAAGCGATAAGAAATAAAAGAAATCATATCTATAAAATTCTTCCCATGCGAACTTTTCCATCGTTATTGTAATAGGATGACATACGACATACAATTATCGATCTCCATAAAATATAACATATTTTACTCAGACGATGGAATAATAATAATGCTAGAATAAGAACTCGAAAATTGCTGACAGATGTGACGTCATTACGTTCCACGGGTGTGCCAGGGAGATGGCCGATGGACCCGTTCGTATAAAATGGGCTGGCTGACTGGCTAGTTGGTTGGCTGTCCGGCCGTCCGAGGTTGATGCCCGAACCCCGCGCCAACATTCCATTTTCTTGGTGGTCTCTTCGATCCCGCGCCCCGTTTCTTCTCGCGCGGTGCCGGTTTTAGAGGCACGAGCCACGGCCTCTCCGGACGCGAAGGTACGAACGACACGTGGAAGGGTCTCACTTTCGCTCGTAAGAGCTGTTATTGCTGCACTTGAGAGACTAGTCGTGAGGTCGCTCATTCTCTTCGTGCCCCTCTTTCGCGTGCCAACGTGTGATAAATGGGGCGTTTTTACCTGCTTGCCTTCCGATTCTTCCACTTCCACCACCTGTTCTCTACCTTCCGTGTTCTACGATTCTGATTCGTAGCGATCTATTTACTCTTCCTGAACGGTAATTAATGAAATATAAATATTAATTAAGTATAATAGAAAAGAATTCGTCTCTTGCACAATATTCACGATTAAAAATCAATTAATTGTAATCAATCGAAAGTAGTTCGATTAATCTCAGTTTCTTATAATAACATTTTTTATACGCAACGTTAAATGGAAACGGGAACTCGTATAATTGTTTTATAGAAAATTCTGTTAGTAAGTTTGCAGATTTTCCCGGTTTGCGAGAAACTACGATGCCGACGACGACGTAATAATCCGTTTCCGTGAAACTATGAGGCGTGTATGCACACGTAGGTCCACGGTATACATATTGTCGGCGGCGTACTACGACGTTATGTATGTCGATGGCGGCGGCTCGAGCGAGCTTATCGTTTCCAAAATAGATGATCCTCTCCTAAATTTATTAATAGACGAGCAGACGACGTGAATCTACCATTGCACCGCTATTATTGTGCCGTGATGCTCCCATTTCGCCATTTCGTCGTTGGTGCGCTTACGTAAGAGGGCGGCGGGATAGTGAATTTACAGAAAAATTAGTTCTCGTCAACCAATGTTTTTCCACCCGGGGCGTATTACGAATGTGTTTTAAAAAATAAAATCAAGCAGAAAAATCATAAATAATTGTACCTATCCCTGTGCAAATAGCTTAATGCATTCAAAAGCTTATTGGGTGGTAAAAGTATACTGAATATTGTTATTTTTAATTAGCTTTAAGTAGAATTCAAATGATAGAATGAATGACTATCTCATACCTTAATTATTATTGGATAGATAGGGCGATTGAGATAGACAGTTATTTAAACGAACTCGAGTACATAGTCGTGATTACTGATTACTGATTACTACTTGACTACCCATGAATCATCATCATTCTTGTCTGCCTTCTTTCTGTCTTGTCCTGCTCTGTGCTGTGTGTATAGACAGATCGAGAAATACAGAGATAAGCCGGTGGCGACGATTCGTATTATAAGTATGAAAATAAAGCTTATCTATCGCAAGTTGACTCATTCTACTTTTCTATATGTGCATACGTGATATCTCTTCTACTTTTCTACTTCTCCTTCAAGAATCGTTATCACTAATCACGTAAACAATGCCGCTGCATATATTATAAGAGTATTTAATTGTTTATTTTTAGCGATCATTCGTCCATGAACTGGAACTCAATATTTTTCTAACGATTCTGAATTTAATAATTGCAATTGAATATCCGCCTTTACTGGTAGGTTACATTGCAATTCTTAGATTATTACTACATTATTTTAGAAAGGCGGCATAATTTTTGTCACGCTGTTCAACGCGTGTCCCGTTAGCCGGTTTAGTTAGCATGTGCACACACATAGACGGGCGCGCGCGCGCTCAGCGTGCCGGGAACGAAATGTAAACCCGTTTGTGTTGAACAAGTCTGACCCGCATATGCAATGTCTGCATCTTTCCCCGTGCCCCATGTTAATTTGCTTTCGTATGAATACTGGAAATGGAAACAGGTTCGCGATTGAACCTTACCTTATTATAGACACGCGCACTATTATCCTCAAGTTAAAACTTTGATTTTGACGATATCGAGTGATTAGAAAAATCGTGTATGTACAGCTAGTAACAACGAAATTGAGCCAGCTACGTGCATATGTTAGTTTCCCCTAGGGGGCAAAATTCAAAACTAGTAATAAGTCTACGTCTTATTTTTTCAATGCTCGATCTAGTATTGATACTGTTGGGTTTTAACATAATTTTGATGCGTCACAATAAAAACAATTTTAACCTACGCTCATCACGATCACGTACATTAAAATTCTGTTTACTCTGACGTATGAACTTTATGTTAAAATCTAACAGTATTGATACCAAATCGAGCATTGAAAAAATAAGACGTAGGCTTATTACTCGTTTTGAATTTTATACCCTAGGGGAAACTAACAAATGCACATAGCTGGCTCACTTTCATTGTTACTAGCTGTACAGCTAATAACAATGAAATTGAGCCAGTTCGGGTTTATGTTAGTTTTTCCTAGGGCAGGCATGGGCAAATCATTCGTAAATGTAGATACGCGCCTGTAGGTTACATAGCGTTAAGAATCCCCACCATAGCCACTATGGCTCTCGAGAGCCTGTCTAGGGGGACAAAATTCAAAACGAGCATTGAAAAGTTAAGATGTAGACTTATTACTCGTTTTGAATTTTGTCATTTTGTTAGGGGAAACTAACAGAAGCCCGAATTGGCTCAGTTTCATTGTTACTAGCTGTAAAAATGCAGTACGTATGTGTTTTTGGTTTCGAGTGATCGAGGTTTCGAAAAACGCATTTCGCATTAGAACGTCCGTCCGCCGCAGAATCACGGGGAGTCGGTGGTTGCAGGTGTCGGATCAGGGGAAATGCACCATACGACGCGACGACGAGAGTCGAACAGGTAACACATTCGCGCAACGCGAAATTTCTCCGCGGTCGACGGCTATTGTTTCATCACGAGTCCTTTCGTAACGTCACGCCTTATTGCATGGAATGATAACTAGTAGCAGAGCCAGCCAGCAACGTTTATCCGTCCGAATCGTAGCAGTCCTCGGCCTACGAGGCCTTTATTGTTTCCAATAAAATTTTCTAATTTCAAATCCATTCGAATGTATTTGACTAATATTTGTATAAGACAGCAATAAAAATGATCATCGAATAATATTGGAAATTCTCTGCAAACCTCTCTATCTGCTATTTTAGACTGTACGTTCTTTCTGGTATTAAAGGACTCTACTAGCCGTTCACTCTTATGCGTGAGAGTATGTTAATGTGGATCCACCGAATTTTTAATCCACTCCGGAGATGTTCAAAATAGGTAAGAAAATGATAGGTGGTAAGTATACGGGTGGGGAGAGGAGGTAGAGGGAGGGGTTACAGGGAACTGTGCTTCGCGGTGTGTTATGTATCTCGCGTTACGCCACACGCCGCCGCCCGCGCCGGTGCGATACAGTGGAAAGATACATGTACGTAAACCGACTGATCTTTACACTTTGCACGCTACATACACACGAGTTGCACGTCTGTGACGTAACTCCGATCGCATCCTCAGGTAGATGGAGGCTGCTGACAATCCTCGTGACTCTTAAAACTCGAGCATCGTTCGAACCGAGCCGAGGAAATGCGCGCGCGCGCGTGTGCGTTTGCGTACTTGGGTGGTGCTGACTTCTTATCGGTCGATAACGAATGGTTCAAAGGCTTCATCGTTCGTCGTATCGTACACTGCGTTGTTTTTCTTTCCTTCCATTCGATCTCGGATACACACGATCTGCCTTGCAGCTGCACATCATCTCACCTAACACAACTAGTTCGTTTCTATCGAAGATTCTAATTAAGAATTGTATTTCAATTGCTTTGGTATCCAATTGATATCGATCTGTATCACAGGACAATAATCGTTGTCTTCGTCCGCGTATAATCTGATAGAACCGTCCGTCCAAACGTCCGTCAACGTGTCTAGCACACGTCGTTAAATTGAACGTTTTTATACGTCTGATTAGCACCGTGTGCCACTGTTCCATGCTATTACAACAACTGTGTATGGCGCTCGTATTAATGATAAAGTCTGCTAACAACCTATATTTTATGCGACCAGCTGCCAACAGTGAGAAAGCGCATGCAATCGTAATCGTATTCATGTTATCCGATTTAAATCTAAATAGCTGTAATATTAACGCCATTAAAATCCTGAGTCGGAGCAATAATTTCATAAACACTCTTTTACGATTCGCTACGTAATAAGTTCTTAAAAACTGCAAGGAAGCTGCGCATCAATTCTACGATTATTTATTTTCGATAATATTCAAGTTCGGAATCGTAATAATAAGCTTCTATCTTTGTTTGTTACACACAGTTTCTACAAAATCTGGGCAAAGTGGACAGGACCGCGGACGACATATTCGACGAGCATCTGCAAAACTTTATGAGACAGCAAAACGCAGCGAACAGGTTGCAGAAAGAGTTCAACAATTACATCAGGTGTGTTCGAGGTAAGTCGTTTGAATAATAAAATCGTGTAAGAGATGAATATTCGAATCGGTTGTGATTCATAGACTACAGATGTATTCGAGAAAAAGTTAATACAGAATAAAAAGCGCGTACAATATTCAAGGACGTGCAAAGAGTAAAGTTCATACTGTTATTTATGAGGAATGAAACGATTTCTGGCTGATTGACTACAGTAACGTTTTATTTTGCAAAAAAATCGGGAGTCTATTATACAGGGTGTCTCAGCTAAAGGAGGCCACCAAAATATCTCCTGTATTTTAATATGTAAATATTATATACACAGGATGGGGCAAATAAAGTGTTACAGAGCAATATCTCTCAAACTAACGATCATATCTAAAAATGTTTCATACAAAAGTTT